GGGCAGAGCCCAGGTGCCTGTGAGCACCTGGGGGAGAAATTTCTGTATTTCTGTATTTGCTCATTTCCTGGAGCTCGCCCTTGTCCCAGTGCCCAGATAAGAACACAAAGCTGAAAGCCAGACTCGGTTCTTCACTCGTCTGCCTGGAAGCCATTGAGGTCACCTTTGCTTTGTGGAGACAGAGATGGAGGCCTGGGGGTGCCTGGTTTCCCCTGGGGGCTGCAGAGAGGCAGTGTTGGAGCTGGGGCAGGCCCAGGACATCTGAACTCCAGGTTTCTCCTCACATTTCTGAATTGCTGCCACCTGGAGCCTGGACACAGAGCCATACCATCATTTAGGTGGGAAGGGAGCTCGGGACATCTCTGAACCTGGGCATTGTCCAGCGAGTTTGGGATATCTGTTGGTCTCATATCCTCCTTCAAATCCTAAAGCTCGTTCCCTGAGCCCTCCTAACTGCTGCAGGATGATCCTTTTCTCCCTTTGAAACAGCTAAACCCTGTCTGTTGCCACCAGACCAGGTGTGGTGTAAACCAATCCGTGATCCAAAACCCCAAAATTCCGCCTGCTCGGAGCCAGGTGTTGATCTGTTGGCTCTTTCTGCTTTTCCCTCATCATTCCCAGCAGCTGGGAGGACAGAGGAGAGCACCACTTGTGTGCTGTGGTGACAGGAGGGAGCACCCTTCTTCCCCAAGGACTTGGGCTGGAAAACTCAAAGTTACTCAAATGCCACTTCTGAAGCCACTGCCTTCTTCAGCACATCTGGTTTCCACCTTTTCCAGAATTTGCACCTGGAGGGGCTCTGGGAGCATTTTTCCAGGATCCCTTTACCCCACGTGGATGAGGAGCAGGGCTGGGAGCGGGTTTGGCTTTGCATGGAGCTGCAGACATGCAGAATGTTCCTTGGTTTGGATAAAACTCCCTAAGGCCAGGGATGCAGTTTATCCCTGGAATTTCCAGATTACAGCACCTTTTACCTGTGCACTGATCTCAGCCTGGGAGAATTGCTCTGTACCTGTGAGCTCTGGAGATGGTACAAATCCCTCAGGATGATCCCTAAAGCTGCTGCTTGCAATTTCAGAGTGAATTTTCCATCTGCTTCTTTGATGGATCTGCTCCCAACCAACTGTACCTTAAAGCACACACCTGATGGATTTATTCTCCTTGTTCAACTGCTCCTGTTCCCAAAGTGATTGGGAGATTTGGGATGTAATCCTTCCCTCTGAGAGCATTAAGAAATAGAAAGTTATCATTGCTGAAGGGTTGTTGGGAGCTCTTTTTCTTCCACTGCAGCCCGTTCTGAAGGGGAGAATACACTGTATTTTTATTTCTTTCTTTGATTTCATTCCTAATGCTGATGAAAGAGACACTTGGTGCCTCTCCAAGCCCAGATAAAGCATGGGAGCCACTTCCACGCTCCCTCAGGTCCTTGTCTGCTTCGGGACTGGCATGGCAGGGGTGGGTTTGCTCTCCATGGAGAACTTTGTGCATAACAAAAACCCTGCAGAGCTTTCATTTCTTAAGGAAAGGGGCAGTCAGGATGAGCATGGTTGCACACAGAGAGTTTGGGAACTCTGATGTAGCAGGTGCAGGAGGATCCCTGTGGATTTCCCTCCCCACAGCGCAGTCTGTGCCACCACGTTCTGCCTCACAGTTGTGCGTTGCTCTGCTGAGCTCTGAAGGACCATGAATTTAAATTTTCCAGGCTCTGTTCACAAATATGCTGAGAAAGGAGCAGCTTTTCCCTAATTTTATAGCAAGATGGATAACAGAGGTGCAAGCAGGGAGGAGCAGGTGTGCTCAAGTCTTGGAACATTTGCGGAGTAGCCATAAACACTCCACAAACACTCAGAGATCAGACCAGCCGGGTTATTTCTAGAAATAAATGCAAAAAGAGGGGGAACCTCAGGTATTCCCATAACTCCACTGGCACAGGGAGTGCCTGCTGTGGAGCTGAGGAAACTGGGAATGCAGCCCAGGCTTTGACAGTGTGCTCTGAGCAGCTGGGTTTCATGGGAAGGAGCTTCGGCGTGCAAACCTGTCGTGCCTGACAATTCAGTCAGGTTGGCATTTGGGAAGAGGCTCTGGTAATTATTGATCTTGTGATCCCCCAAGAGCTCTTCCTGCCTCTTTCTGTGCTGCAACATCAACAGGAGTTTTCAGCGTGGAGCTTGGTGAGTATAAAGAACTAAATAGTTCTTTAAAGTGCTTAAATAGTACTTGGGAGTGAGAGGGGGTGAGTTGGCTGGAAAGCCCAGCAGCAATCCTGCTTCTCTTCCTTCCAAATTTATTTTTGGGAACGACGGGAAATCAGCAGCCTTTTCCCCCCAGGGCTGATAAACACAGCATTGAAGTCTCTCTTGATAAAACCACAGATTGGGTTTTTACTTTATCTTTTTTTTTTTTTTTTTTAAGTCCTAATAGCAATGTGTGAAAACCTCAGGCTCGATTGATGAGGAATAAAGTCTTAATAGTGAAGAAGAGTCCAGGAGTATGTCTAAAGTGCTCATTTTATCACCAGCACATATTTCATACTGACAGTCCATACTTTTAGCTAATCCCAAGCCACGTGTGATGCATTTTAAGTCCCTCCTCATCCTGCTCTGGCCTTTCCCTTGTGGTGTTTTCTGGGAGAGCAATGGAGTCACGCTGGCAACCTCAGACTTCTTGGCATGGGGGTGTTTTAAATTCACAACCCATATTTTGAGGTGAGGAAGAAGAATTTTGTTCCGTGTCAAGGAAGGGAAGGAGCAGAGCCACTGGAAGCAGGAGGTGGCAGAACAGCTACTGAGGATCAGGTGTGGGGTGAAGGATTTGACTTTTCAAGGACCCTAAGTGCCATTTTAGGGAGTCCAGTTTGCCATGTCATTACCATTTATGGCTTATAAATAGGCAAATTAACCACCAAGGGATAAGATATTGATGCAGTCTTACCTTTGGGGCAGTTTTTTTGTGACCAGCCCAAAGCTACGTGTTTATGTGTCCACATTTATGATCCCTCATTTCTGTGTCGCCTCAACACCCTGCACCCCCAAACAAAAAACCCCAGCAAAACTTGTTTTCCCCACGTGTGCCTTGAAGTTAAGCTGATTTTTAGATTCTGGTGGTGTTCAAGTGAGTGTGTGCTTTGGCATTTCTCTCAGGAAAAGCATTATTAGGGCAGCTCATCTCCTGGCCAGCTGTTTGCAGAAAACTGGTGGCAACTGGAAGATCTTTGCAGCCCCCATGAGACCAGGCTGAAATAGCAGAGGCTGGCACACACACACACACAGACATGAACTTCACTTCCTGCAGAAGGCCTGAAAAGGGGGGGAAAGAAAGAAAGAAAAACAAAATAAAAGTTTTTTAAAAATTTATATTATTATTTTTTCTTTTTACCTTCAGTTGCATGTTGGTGCCTGCTAAAATCCAGAGCAGTCCCAGGGACTGGAGCCTCCCATCTGCCCACAGCCGTGTGCTGCCAAGATCCAAGAAAGCTGATTTAGCCTTTTGCTGACTTTTTAGCCCCTTTATCCTCCTGACTTTCCGAGATTTACGCCAATGTCATGAATTTAAAATCTGCCTTGGTTTTAAGCGTTCATTCTGCTGTGCAGCTGGGTTGTGGGTCACATTGGTGGGAGGGGATGGAAATCCCATTTAATCATGGGGCGTTAAGTAAGTGACAACAAATGGCCGTGTAACAATAGGCCTGGGGATTGTGCTTTATTACCCCACACATTTCCCCTCTTCATGATGATTTTTCATGGTTAAATCAAATTTTCCCTTTATTTTCTCTGACGTGCACTTGAGTGCAGCACTGAAAATTCCTCCTGACTTCTCTCTGCTGCTTTAAGGTGAACTTTTTTGCTTTGGCTCATTTCCAGATCTCTTTCAGCTGAGATTTGCTTCCTCACCTTCTTTCTGGGAATTCTTGATGAGTAGATGAGAGGGGCATTAAATAGATTTAGTGAAAAATGACCGTCAGCAGCAGGGATGACTTTCTTCTAATTAAAAATTGAAACGGAAATGAATGAGCTTCTCTTGAGGCCGTGCAGGAGATGGTGCTAAGCCCAGCTCTGTGTTCATCAGTGATGTGGGAAGCCCAGGGTATGAAAGAATATCCCAGAAACTTCAGTACCTTGGAGGGTGCCAATAAAAGGGGAGATTTTCTAGTGACAGCATATTGAGGTGGCCTAGATTTAAATCTGTTGGCCTAGAGCCGAGTCAGAGCTGAATTTTGTAGAATCACAGAATGGATTGGGTGAGAAGGGATCTTAAAACTCATCCCTGCCATGGGCAGGGACCCAGGCTGCTCCAAGCCCTGTCCAGCCTGGCCTTGGACACTTCCAGGGATCCAGGGGCAGCCACAGCTTCTCTGGGCACCCTGTGCCAGGGCCTCATCACCCTCAGAGCCAGGAATTTCTCCCAGGAGGCTCCCAACAGATCCTAACTTCAGCATCTTTGCTTTGATGTACGGTGTAGTCTTTTCCAGCGTTGACCAGAAATTCCCTCATACGCAGCCAGCCAGTAAATTGTAACCAGCGCAAGTGCGTTCCCTTTCAACTTTCTCATGCGATGAATCAAAATTTTCCAGCAGGAAATGAAAGCAAAGCACTTCATCTAAAAATTCCTCATCAGCTCTGGTCACCAGAGCAAAGCGATGGCGATTACCCTCGGTTAGGCAGTGCGAATTCCCCGCGCTGCCGCGGCCCGGGATCACGGCAGGGACAGCGGGTGTACGTCAGCACCTCTGGTTTGGGTGTGAGGAGAGAGGGCCTTGCAGGTGGGAAAAACGAGGATCCAGGTCAGGGATGAGGAGGTTGTAACCCTCCACAACCCCAGTGAGGAGCGGAGCGCCTGGAGAAAGCTGCGTGTCCACATCTCGTGGATCCCGTCGCCTTCGCAGGTGACGCCCCAGAGGTTGTTCTTTTGAGAGAGGAAAATTGCTTTTAAATCTAACCGTGTCTCAGGTCGCTGATGGGTCACTTTGGTTGTGTTACCTGACTCTGATTGTTCTCTTGTAGGAAGGGCAGAGCTTCACCCTCCCAGCAGCGATGAGAGACGCCGACAGTGCTACGAGTCCCTTCTGGCCCCGTCTGCGCAGCGGCTGCCGCCTCTGCATATTCATGGGATGGTAATGCAGGATGTCGGCAGCAGCGGTAGAGTTTGGCTCGGTCCCACTGCGCTTCCCTCCTGCCGGTTGCCACTCTGAATCACCATGACAACGCTGTGACACTTCCAGCAAAGGTTGCCCGCGGACCGAGGGTGGGCTGGGGGTGGGCGAGAAGGTCAATGACCGAGTCTGACGGGATCAGAAGTTTTGCCTGCAGCAAAACGACCGTGGAAGAGCCACCGGCACGGCAAGAAGATGAAATTCCCCTTCCATTGGCTTCTTGTTGAGCAGGCACAATAACATTTCCCTTCGAGAGACTCGCTGTAAAAACTCTTTTGGTTATGGCTACTGATCCGACGTGATTGCGCACGCGGCGACTTCGGAACTCATGACTGGCTATACGATGTTGCGCAATGGGGGAGTGGGGAACGGAGGCCAGCCGTGGGTGTTGAGGTGGTCCAGTCGCATCCGGCTCACCTGGCTTAGCTTCACCCTCTTCGTCATCCTCGTTTTCTTCCCCCTCATTGCCCACTACTACCTGACCACCATCGACGACGCGGACGATGCCGGCAAGCGCATCTTCGGCCCCCGCACCGGCAACGAGCTGTGCGAGGTGAAGCACGTGCAGGACCTGTGCCGCATCCGCGAGTCGGTCAGCGAGGAGCTGCTGCAGCTGGAGGCCAAGCGGCAGGAGCTCAACAGCGAGATCGCCAAGCTCAACTTGAAGATCGAGGCCTGCAAGAAGAGCATTGAAAATGCCAAGCAGGACCTGCTGCAGCTGAAGAACGTCATCAGCCAGACTGAGCATTCCTACAAAGAGCTGATGGCTCAGAACCAGCCCAAGCTCTCCTTGCCCATCCGGCTGCTGCCAGACAAGGATGATGCGACCTTCCCCCTGCCAAAATCCAACAGGAACTGCAGGCTGCACAACTGCTTTGACTACTCACGCTGCCCGCTGACGTCTGGCTTTCCAGTCTATGTCTACAACAGTGACGATTACCCTTTCGGTAGCTCCTTAGACCCTTTAATTAAACAGGCCTTTGAGGCGACTGTCAGAACTAATGTTTATGTTACTGAAAATGCAAATATTGCTTGTGTGTATATAATTTTAGTGGGGGAAATGCAAGAGCCCGTAATGCCAAAACCTACTGAACTAGAGCAACAGTTGCACTCTTTGCCATATTGGAGGACTGACGGACACAACCATCTGATCATCAATCTCTCGAGGAAGTCGGAGACTCAGAACTTCATTTACAACATCAGCACGGGGCGCGCCATGATCGCCCAGTCCACCTTTTACGACGCCCAGTATCGGCCGGGCTTCGACATCGTGGTATCGCCTCTGGTCCACGCCATGTCCGAGCCCAACTTCCTAGAGATCCCACCCCAGGTGCCGGTCAAGCGTAAGTACCTGTTCAGTTTCCAGGGGGAGAAGATCGAGTCTCTCCGCTCCAGCTTGCAGGAGGTTCGCTCTTTCGAAGAGGAGATCGAAGGCAACGCCCCGGCCGACTACGACGACCGGATCATCGCCACCTTGAAGGCTGTTCAGGACAGCAAGCTGGACTTTGTTCTGGTGGAGTTCACATGCAAGAACCAGCCTAAGGCGAGTCTGCCCACTGAGTGGGCTCTGTGTGGAGAAAGGGACGACAGACTAGAGCTACTGAAGCTTTCTACTTTTGCACTGATCATCACCCCCGGGGACACCCATTTAGTGATCTCCGCCGGGTGTACCATGAGACTGTTTGAGGCTCTGGAAGTCGGGGCCATCCCGGTGGTTCTCGGAGAGCAAGTTCAGCTACCCTACAACGATGTGATCCGGTGGAACGAGGCAGCCTTAATTATACCAAAGCCACGTATCACAGAAGTGCACTTCCTTCTGAGAAGCATTTCTGACAACGACCTCCTTGCCATGAGGAGGCAGGGCCGCTTCTTGTGGGAGACCTACTTCTCCACCTCCGACAACGTCTTCAGCACAGTCTTGGCTATCATAAGGACTCGAATCCAAATCCCAGCTGCTCCTATCCGAGAAGAACCCGCCGTGGAGATCCCCCACCGGTCTGGCAAAGCTGCTGGTACAGACCCCAACATGGCAGACAATGGTGACCTGGACCTGGGGCCTGTGGAAACAGAACCACCCTACGCCTCTCCCAAATATCTCCGCAATTTCACCCTCACCGCAATGGATATCTACAGGAATTGGAATTCTGCCCCGGGGCCTTTCCACCTCTTCCCCTACACTCCCTTTGACCCCGTCTTACCGTCAGAAGCAAAATTTTTGGGGTCTGGGACTGGATTTCGACCAATTGGCGGAGGAGCAGGTGGCTCTGGGAAGGAGTTCCAGGCTGCTTTGGGTGGCAACGTCCCACGGGAGCAGTTCACGGTGGTGATGTTGACTTACGAGCGGGAGGAAGTCTTGATGAACTCCCTGGAAAGGCTCAACGGTCTCCCCTACTTAAATAAAGTCGTGGTGGTGTGGAACTCTCCCAAGCTTCCCTCCGAGGATCTCTTGTGGCCGGACATCGGCGTCCCGATCATGGTAAGACAGACGTAGCCACAACGGGCTCGTTCCTGGCGGGGGTTTGCACGTTGGAGTCCTCTGTGTCAGCTCAGCTTCAGTCCTGGGGGACGTTTCAAGGTGTCTGTACCTCATTTGGGTAATTTTCTCAGTGGAGAAACACAAGAGGTGCCAGATATTTAGCACAGATATTTAGCACTCAGAGAATGCAAATTGCTTTTGAGGAGCCTAATGTGAATTTTGATGCTTAAAGCTAAAGATTGTTGCTCGTTGGAAATCTTCTGCTCAGGCTCTTTAAGTGCCTCCCTGTGAGGACAGTTGGCACCTTATAAATTCCTAAGTAGTAACTGTTTCTGCACTTTGCCCGATGAATTTTTTATTAAAACAAAAGAGGGACCCACTGAATTAGTGTCGACTGCAAAGACCTCAAAACTCAATTCTCACTTTAGATTACAAGGGAAGGCAGAGAAGGAATTACAAGCCAAGGCTGACGTGGCTGTGAGAGCTTCCGTGCTCCCAAGGTTGGAGCTGACTTTTGCATGTATTTGGGCTGATTATTTTTTTTCCTCAGCCAAACTGAAGAAGTGACACCTTCAACAGCCAACGTTCATTTTCAGACCCATGAAAATGTACTCACTTGGACATTGACTTGTAAGGAGTGAATTCTCCCTAAATTTTTAAATTTATTTTAGGTCTTCCTTGCCATCCCAGCATAACCTTCTTCACTGGTCGCTGGGAAAAATCAAAATTAAATATAAATCTCCCTTCATAAAGAGAGCAAGGGCAGAGAGCTGCTAACAAGAACTAACACTGAGTACTCTGAATCTGGCTGTGTTTAGAGGACAAATGGAAGGATAATGCCTTACAAATTAGGGAAGGGAAAAATAAAAGAGGGAGATGGCACTTAAATACACAAACTGCGTGTGGTTTATGTGACAGGACGCTACTGAGCTTAATAGCAATGTGTGCTTTATGCTGCATGCAAAGAGATTCATTGATTTAATATTTCGTTTTATTATTATAGTGATGAATAAATCCTTCTGCTCACATTTAAAAACCCTTATGGTCCGGGAACAATGAGGAGAGAAAATTGCTTGGTTAATTGCGAAATAATCTTTCACATTAGTGCTTTTGAACCTGCGAATTCTACAAAATCTTTGCATTGTGTCTGCTGAAAAACCACGTCCTCCTTCGGAGCGGGGATTGTTCTCCTTGGAGCTGCTAATGGGTGTTATTTGTGAGGGAAAAATGCATTTGTGCTGATGGAAGATAATGGCTTTTTGTACCTGGCTCTCATCTGCACATCTGCTGTGTTGGAGCCCTGCTGGGTTTTTTTTTTTGGGGACTTGACACACACGAGTTGCTTCGTGTCACCTTCGAGCCACCACGCGCTGGGGGGATTTTGGGAACCTGGAGGAGGGAATTGTCCTGTGCCTGCTCTGGGGAGCTGGATGGTGACTGAGACTGAGTGAAACCTTAACGGGGTAGAAATCCATTTGGATTTAGGTGAAATACGCCACTTCCAGCTTGCTAAATATGCCGTTTAGTTTAGTAATTGCAGCCCTAGCAAAAATAAAAGAATGCAGATTTCCACACTCAAAGAAAAAAGATAAGACTCCTCAGACCTTGAAACAGAGTGACCCAGGAACTCTTTCTAGACTTTCTAACAAAAACTGAATACAAGCGTAACTAGCTATAAGTATAATGTAAAATCAGCAAAATAAACATGCATTAACCTATTGTGAAATTCTATGCCTATAGAAATTAATAAAAATAATAAAAAAAGATCAGGAGTTCTCAGAGGCACGCATGTCCATTAAAAAACAAAAAAACCCAACATGCGTCCACAGCGCTGTAAATAAACATACCCGTTCCCTACAAATCTTCATTCAAATTATAAGGTTTAACTTTCATGGCACTGTGGGGTGGCTGGGTCACAGAGAGCTTCTGCCAGGTCCTTTCTGAAGAGCCTGGTCTGATAACAGCTCTGCTTTCTTCCCATTTTTCTAAATCCCTGTTTTTGAAAAGAGCCCAAATCGGGGATTTCTCACGGGAGGGTTAACCCCGAGCAGCCTCCAGGCATCCATCTCCAGACTGGGTGTTTAATCCTGCTGGGAGCTCGTGCCATTCTTCTACGAGGATGGTTTGGTGGGGCAGCGATGGAAAACTTCCCTGGGCTTCGTCAGGCAGTGAGGAATTCTAAGTTCTGCTCTGGAGAAGGGTGAAGAGAGCACTGGGAGCAGAGGTGAGGCTCTGTTTGAGCCTTGCTGGCTCAGATTTGGGATGTGCTGGCCTGGGGAAGAGGCAGGTGGGGACGTGGGATTGGCAGGACACACAAGGCAGTGCGTGCCAGTGTCAAAAGAAAGTGAAATTCTGATTTCCTTGTGAGGGGGAAAAAAAAAAAAAAAGCTCTTTTGATGGGGAATATCCAATTCTCTCAGATCTCTGTGTAACAAATACCTCCCCGGGAACTTTGGGAGGCGAGGAATTGCTCCCTGTTCAGGTCCCAGAGCACAGAGCTTGGTGGGGAAACTCGAGGGGAGAAGAGGAGGGCATGAAGGTGGGTTTGGGCTGGGATTGAAGTGGGTCCAGGCACCACCTGGCTCTGAGGAGCAGCACAGCACACGTGAGCCAGGATCAAAGCAGCTGCAGCCAGAATTATTGAAGAAAAGCCAGCCAGAAAGACTGGACCTGCTCCAGTGGGTCCAGAGGAGGCTGGAGCACCTCTGGAGCCAGGCTGGGAGAGCTGGGAGTGTTCCCCTGGAGAGGAGAAGGATCCAGGGAGAGCTCAGAGCCCCTTCCAGAACCTAAAGGGGCTCCAGGAGAGATGGAGAGGGATTTGGGATAAGGGATGTGCAAGGACAGGACACAGGGAATGGCTTCCCCCTGGGAAAGGGGAGATTTGGATGGGATTTGGGAAGAGAAAGATCCAGGGAGAGCTCAGAGCCCCCAGGAGAGAACTGGGACGAGGGATGGAGGGACAGGACCCAGGGAATGGAATTTGGGAAGAGAAGGATCCAGGGAGAGAACTGGGACGAGGGATGGAGGGACAGGACCCAGGGAATGGAATTTGGGAAGAGAAGGATCCAAGGAGAGCCCAAGGAGAGAACTGGGATGAGGGATGGAGGGACAGGACCCAGGGAATGGCTTCTGGAAAGAGAAGGATCCAGGGAGAGCTCAGAGCCCCTTCCAGGGCCTAAAGGGGCTCCAGGAAGCTGGAGAGGGAATTTGGGATAAGGGATGTGCAAGGACAGGACACAGGGAATGGCTGCACACTGCCAGAGGGCAGGGATAAATGGGATATTGGGAAGGAATTCCTGGCTGTGAGGGTGGGGAGGCTGTGGAATAGAATTCCCAGAGAAGCTGTGGCTGCCCCTGGATCCCTGGAAGTGTCCAAGGCCAGGCTGGATGAGGTTTGGATCAACCTGGGATGGTGGAAGGTGTCCCTGCCCATGGCAGGGGTTAGCTTGGGATGATCTTTCAGGTCTCTTCCAACCCAAACCATGTTATAATTTTATATAAATCGCAAGCTAATGAGACAAAGCAATGTGTGTAGCACATTAAAGTGCTTTTGGAAGCAAAACAGAGCCCTAAACCCCACCAGGGCCTGCTGGTGGCAGGAGGTGTGTGGCTCTGGACGAGCAGAATTCCCCAGGGGAGAGTTGGACTTCTCCTTTCTCCATGTGCTGACCTGATTTATTGATGTGTTCCTTGAAACGTCGTTTGCAAACCACGCTGCTTGGCTGTGATTTGGGGGTTGTCCTCCCAGGCAGATTTCTTTTCCCTGGTGGGCTGGAAACGAATCAAGAGCCAAGCTCAAAGCTGCATTGGAACTTTGAATCTTTCATGGATAATGAGATAAACAGGGCTACAGAATATATTTGATTTTAAAAAAAAAAAACTTTGACTTAAATATAGATGGCGTAATTTACTAAAACATCAGTAAGATTCCTGAGCTGCACAGGAGTCTGATCAAATATTCTGTCCCTGTCCCCATCCTGAAGTGAGTAGGTGGAAATCCAACATAATGTGAAGTAGATTGTAGTTACTCAGGGCTGCCCCTGGAACAGATGTAGGCACTTAACCCTCACATTTAAAGCTGTAAAAACTCTTCCCATCTCACGTTCATCGGCATTGCAGCAAAACCCAAAGGCTGTGAATGAGAAATCTTCTTCGTGCAAGCTCAAAAAGTGACTTTTCCCCAGGTGTTTGTATCTCTAGCACTGCCTTAGGAGAACTCCCCAGGACAGGAGTGACAGCTCCAGCTCCAGCAGCCACATCACAGCCCCGGCTGAACTTTGCTGCCCCATCCCTGGAAACGTTCCAGGCCAGGCTGGAGGGGGTTTGGGGCAGCCTGGGCTAGTGGAAGATGTTCCCTGCCCATGGCAGGGGGTGGCACTGCCTGAGTTTTTAAGGTTCTTTGCCATCCAAACCACTCTGGGACTCTGTGATTTGGGGCTAAACCTTATTTAACCCAAAGCAATATTTTCACAACCTCTGAATTGACAAGCCAGAGCTTCAGCTCCTCTCCCTCTGCTGGGTTTGTGAGGGCTCTCAGTGGCTGGAAAAGCCCTGCAGCAGTTTGGTTTCTCCTCCTGCTCGGGGCTGAGGTGGGCTGGGAGTGCTGGAGGCATCTCTGAGCGCTTGGGCTGGGTTCAGTGCCAGCTCCTGGAGCTGCCAGCAGTGACTAATCCCTTCCTCCAGCTTTGTTCCAGAAGAAATCGCTGCCTTTGATCCCTGCAGCCACTTCCAGCGGTGAAACATCCTTTGCTGCTGGCCTGGTGGCTGGCTGGGAGGGCTCATTCCATTTAGCTGCTGGTTGAAAAGAATCCTCTGTGGCTGATCCGCAGCGCTGCGGGGCTGCAGAGCTGGGTCCCTTGACATGGAATTTATTCATCAGGAGCAGGCTGGCCAGGGAATGCTGTCCTGACTTCCCCTCCTCCTTGGGCTGTCTCAGTGTGCTGTGCTGAGCTGGCTCTGAAGCTCAGCTGCCTGAGATTTGCCTGTCCTTTCCAGCAGAA